AGCGTCAAAGAAAGTATAGATTTGTGATAAAAAAAAACTTATTCATTTATCCACGCAAACAATCGCGTCAAAAACTACAATTATTAGCCCAAAACATACCATTTATATTATTGGGCCTGTGCATATCTAGTATATATATATATACTTTATAAAATACAATATTATAAATTGAGTAATTAAAGAGAATGGAATGGAATGGATTGGTCAGCCGTCATGAGAAAGGTGGTGGGGCCCACTTAAACTGATTAAAGAGTACAACTTTATGATGGATATATGTGTCATTATAGAGATGTTGGCTGGTTTTTTGGTCTAAAGAAAAAAAGGTACAATTATAAAGCATTGACATATAAAAGTTTTAAGGAGCAAAAGCTAGTAAATATCAAAAATACCCTTACATTCACACTTATATATAAGTAGTAAAAGTAGATATATATATATATATATCTTCTATTAACGTGGCCTTAAGGAAAATAGAATTAAAAATAAATAAAAATATGAAAAAAATTATAAAGTAAGATAATATAATGCCTAAACTTTGGCTTTTTCAATTTGGATGTATTATTTTATTTTTTATTCAAGCTTTCTATTTTTAGTTCATTTTAATTGTTCCATATATATATATATATATATTTAATTTGTTTCAGAATTTCCCGAAATTGATATGGAATAATGAAAAATTAATCAAAAGGTAAGAAATATTACTTTAAAAAAATCTCAAAATGAGGAGAAAAGGGAAAGAATGAGCTTCTATTAAGAGGAAATTTGGGTTAAGAAAGTTGTCATTTGCCAATTATATTATTTGTAGTGTATTTAAAGATTATTTATGTGAAAAAATAAATATTAGTAATGCAAATTATTAATAATGCAAATTTCCCGAAATAGAATAAAAAAAGATATGAAAATTATTAGTAATGCAAAATAATATAATGCCCAAGCTTTGAATTTTACAATGGTTGTATTATTATTTTTATATATTTTTCAGTTCATTTTAAATGTTGTGAGGAGAAAAAGGAAATAATGGTCTTCTAATTAAGAAAAAAATTGAATAAAGAGACTTGTCATTTGCTTATTATATGAATTATATGTATTATTATTTTATTTTATTTTAGTTCATTTTAATTGTTCTATATATAATCTTAATTTATTTCATAATTTTCGAAATTGATATAAAATAATAAAACATTAATCAAATGGTAAGAAATAGTATAACTTAAGAAATTCTTTAAATGGGGAGAAAAAGGAAAGAATGATCTTCCAATTAAAGAGGACATTTAATTCCTTTAATCAATGCAATTAATTTTCTTTCATTAATCTTCTTTTTTAAAACCTATTGAATTTCTTGTATCATTAAAAAAAATCTCAGATTTTTGAATTTTTTCTTTATATATTGTTTTCATATATAATCTTAATTTATTTCATAATTTTTAAATTGATATAGAATAATAATAAATTACTCAAATAGTAAGAAATGGTATTGTTTAAGAAATTCTATAATGAGGAGAAAAAGGGAAGAATGATCTTCCAATTAAAGAAGACATTTAATTCATTTAATCAATGCTATTAACTTTCATTCATTAATCTTCTCCTTTAAAAGACTTTTTGAATTTCCTACATCATTAAAAAGGGATCTCAGATTTTAGAATTTTTCTTTATATTAGAATTAAAATAGAACAACTTACAAAAATGACTATATTTATAGGGTTATTGAAGTTCAATAGCTATAAGTATGTTATTTACAATAAATGACTACATTTTATATTCTTTTTTTCGCTGTATTTTTGTATACTATTTTTATTTTTCTATTTATACACTAATACATCTTTAAGTACAATAAACTAAATAAGGAATTGACTCTAAATATAACCCACTGTCCTTATTTACGTCCATACAATGAGCAACATTCCATTATTAACATTAGAACTAATAATTACTTATTTAAAGACATATATACCCGATCATATTCTTATCAGTTTAAATACTCCATTCTCTTATTGTCTCAAAAGATGTGGTATTGATATGTCATAATAATGATTGAATAAAACTTAGAAAAAACGTTAATTAAAAATTCAATGAAGGTAAAAACTAAAATACATTTAACTAAAAATACACAGGAATACATACCCATATATTTAGGATATACCTTTTGAGTAAATATACAATTATTGAATAAAAGTGATTTTATTTGCATACAACTATTTTTTATTGGATTTAACTTTAAACATGAACATGTTATAACCAATGTGTGTATTTTAGGAGCCACAATAAATCCTATTATAAATTCATCCCGAACAAAGTTATGTTACTGATATTCCTTGATAAAAATGGCTAAAGAAGACGAAACCGTGTGAGCAATTACTATTTAGCAATACTAATATACATAAATATAGTTAAATAAGATACAACGAATATGCATACAAAAATATAGTTAAATATTAATATACATAAATATAGTTAAATAAGATACAACGAATATGCATACAAAAATATAGTTAAATATTAATATACATAAATATAGTTAAATAAGATACAACGAATATGCATACAAAAATATAGTTAAATATTAATATACATAAATATAGTTAAATAAGATACAACGAATATGCATACAAAAATATAGTTAAATATTAATATACATAAATATAGTTAAATAAGATACAACGAATATGCATACAAAAATATAGTTAAATATTAATATACATAAATATAGTTAAATAAGATACAACGAATATGCATACAAAAATATAGTTACATACTAATATACATAAATATAGTTAAATAAGATACAAAGAATATGCATACAAAAATGAAGCCTATCAACGATTCTTAATTGCCCAGAAAGAAATTCACTTATTCATTAATTAAAATACTTTAAGCCAAATTAATTAGGCATGAAAGAGAAAAAGTTGATGATGGTAAACATTGGGAAAAGATCACGTAAAACGTGCTGCAATAATTAATTAGGCATTCAATAATAACTTTCCTATTTTGTATTTATTTATATTAATGTATATAAAAATTTATTTATTTGTATATAATTAACTTTGCTATTTATTGTATAGTTATATCCATATATTATGGGGAAAAAAAATATAGCTATTTTTCTTGAATATATAGGTATGTTTGCCATATTCTGTAGTTTTTCCATTAAAATATAAGTATTGCATAAAAAATGTCTTCTCGTAATTATTTTTTTTTACTTTATCACGTTTTTTTTAGAAAAATATAGAAATCAATGCAATATTTATTGGTATTGAAAAATAATTAACAAAATAATAATTACTGATATTTAAAAAACAATTTACATTGAATTTAATACATTAAAATATGAAAAGTTTTACTTTCAGAGCCTATTTGGCATTTCTGCTAAAAGCGGCTTAATTTTAGAATTTTTGCTTTTTAAAATAGTTTTTCAGAAAAATGCTTCCGACAAAAAAATAATTTGTATTTGAATAATTCATCTAAAAAGTGCTTTTGAAAAGCAAGTTGTGTTTGGTTAATGTATTTTAAAAAGTGTTTTTAAAAGTCAAATTCTGAAAAAGGGTAAGTATCAGTGTACTTTTAATATTAAGATTATTTTATGGAGAGAAAATATTTTAAATATCTATTACAAAAGTATTAATTAAATTTTATTTTTATTAAATTAAAATGTACACATTCACATTTTTAATCAATATTATATATAGATAAATATAGGGAAAATGGTTTGAAAAATACCCCAACTTTGGCCGAAATTGCTGTTACGATACCAAACTTTATGGATGACTTTTTACACCCCTGCACTATTTAATAATGTATTTTAAAGGTATATATGTGCCCACATGGACACATTACTATTTAAAATGATGCAATATTTATAATGTCCACGTAGACACATATATACCTTTAAAATGTACTATTAAATAGTACAGGGGGGTAAAAGGTCATTTTCAAAGTTTGGTATCGTAACAGCAATTTCAGCCAAAGTTAGAGTATTTTTCAGACCATTTTCCCATAAATATATAAATATATTAAATATTAACATTATAATTTAAATATAATTAAAATATCAAGAAAAATAAATTTAAAAACCATTTCACAAATTAAATCATTACATACAGAAAATAATATTATTTTCTTAAAAACCATTGATTTTTTTTTAAAAAAAAATTTCAAAAAAGAAGAAAGTACTTTTGACCTCTCAACATCAATCAAACAGGCTCTTAATGACATTTATCATATAAGTCAGTATGCATAATAGTAGTAACATACTTACATGAACATATAAATAATATAAGAATCATTTTCTAAGTGAAAATGTGCGCGAGAAAATCATTACAACACTCGATGATAATGATATACACCGATTGTTTTCAATATTTATGATAAGAATATATATTTTTTATATATCTTTTCAAAATAAATCTATTTTAAAAAATACGAGTGTTGTCGTTTATGAAACATGAATGAAGAACGACACATAATTTTATATTTAATTATTTTAGGAGCATTCCATCAACGTAATAAATGTTACACATTTTTTTTGGACATTTTACTTCGTTTTTTGCAATTCTTTATTCATTTTAGTTTCACTTTTAAAAATTTAGAAGTTTTGCAAAATGCTTATGAATTAAAATTGAATATTTGTGTTTAGATCATATTTCAAAAATAAATTAACAACTCGTTTTGATTTTAAAAGTTATAATTATGTTATTTTAATAAATAAGAATTTTTTAACAATCGCGCGCGCGAAGCGATTCGAGCTAAAATTGATTATTGCTCTTATACTATTCGAACTATCTTTGGAATATTGGGCATCAAAATTTGAATATTTCTAGACGAGGAATAATTTTAGCGATTATGATTGAGATAAAGCTCTTTTCTATTGTATAATTTTCTATTGTCCGAGTTGGAATTAGAAGCGCGAGCTGATTCACTAGTTTATAGATAAATCAAGATCTACTTTAGCTTACTAATGAAGTTAAAAACCGTGTGATTTCGTATTCAAATTTCGAGGAATAAAGAAAGGAAAATCGTATGCAAAACCCATAAAGAAATACTATTTCTCTCTCAGTCAGAGCCGTAACAATTAAGAAAAATCCCAACCTTTCTATAAAAATCAACCCTTGTTTACTCTTCTCTTCTGATATTTCTCTCACAACCAAAAATGGCTTCACCAGCAATCCTCCCAATCACTTCACAACCCACCGCCGCCGACACCACCCAACAGATCGGTCCAACTCCGGCATTCCGATCATTCATCAACCACATCTCCACCACCGTCCAAACTGGTTTTGCCAATCGCCGGCCATGGTCCGAGCTCCTTGACCGGTCCGCTTTCTCTAAACCGGAATCTATCTCCGACGCCACTCTCCGTATCCGCAAAAACTACACCTATTTCCGTATCAATTACCTTTCTCTCCTTGCTGTTGTTCTCGCCTTTTCCCTCCTCACAAACCCATTTTCCCTTCTTACTCTTTCTGGCCTTCTCGCCGCTTGGCTCTTTCTTTACCTTTTCCGTCCTTCCGATCCGCCTTTGGTTCTATTTGGTCGACAGTTTTCTGAAAGGGAGACGCTGGGTTTGCTTATTGTCTCTACTGTGGTTGTAATTTTTCTTACCTCTGTTGGAGCTGTGCTTGTTTCTGCTTTGATGGTTGGTCTTGGGATTGTGTGTATACATGCTGCTTTTAGGGCCCCTGAGGATCTTTTCCTTGATGATCAAGAGTCTCCTGCTACTGGGTTTCTCTCTTTCTTGAGCAGCGGTGCCGCCAATGCTGTTGCCCCTGCGGTTGCTGCTAGGGTTTGAGCGTATATGGGGTATGCAAGCTCGATTCATATAATTTTGTGAATGATTTACTGTCTTTAGTAGATTAACTCATAAAGAATTGATGGAAATGAGACCAGAATAATGATGTATGTATAAGACTTTTTCCGTTTCTTTAAGATTCAGAACTTGAAAATTGTAATTTGGATCCTACCAACTTGGAAGTTTAGTTACTGTAATTGATTCTTGAAAATGAGTAATTTGCACCTGAGATCTGAGTTGATCAAAGTCCGATTGAAAGAACAATTTTTTATAGAGTATGATCTCAATGGTTGAGACTCTTGAGATTGATTCGTTGATTTCTGATTGACCTCTGTTATTGATAACACCTGTTATTTTAAAGAATTGGATTTGGTTGGTATTGATCAGATCTGGATGATTTCGGTATGAAAATAGTCACATTCTTAACCATCTAGCATAGATGAGACAGGAATATGGATATTTTATGTAAGTTCTTCAAGATACACTTAAAATTCATTGATTTGTGATTGACCTCATTTGTGTTTGATATTTTTTCATATCCAGTTCCATGTAACATATGTATCATAGGTTAATTCAACCTTTACAGTCGTTTGGTTATTGCTAAACTTGTATTGGTTGCCTTCATATTTGGCTTGTTATTGATGAAAGTTATGATGTGCTTTTGTTAAAGGTCGTTTCGTCATCACAGTTAATTTTGTTGTTCTCACTCATGAGTGTTGCATGATGTATTCATTGTTTAGGAGTCCATACATTCTCCTTAGCACACAGGGGAAGTGTGCCTACCTAAAGAATGATGTGCTTTTTATTTACATTCATCATATGTTTTGATTGTTGCTTTGCAATGTGTGTGTTGAGAGTTGAGACTACCATTTTTTTGGTGTATTGGGTTTTACTTTACTCGAATAGAATGAGTGGGCTGTTTCTGTTTGTTGAGAATTTTCGAATTGCTGATCAACATTAGTTAATAACCACAACCACACATGCGGATGTGTGCCTACCTAAGGAACTCGTTTATTTTTCATTTACATTGAGAAATATCTCATCATATGTTTTGATTACTCGACCAGCACAATGTGTGTTGAGACAACTATTTCTTGGTGGATTAGAATCAGTCAGGCTATTTCTTTTTGAGAATCTTTGAATTGCTGATGAGAATGCTATAAAGGCTATTTCTATTTGTTGGTTTGTTGTTGATTATCCAATGTTGATGGAAAAAGTTATATCTGAATTGCTGATGAGAATGCTATAAAGACAATGTTATGCCTCTCCTCTTAAAGTATGCATATTTTTTATTGGTGGTCAATTGTGCCCTTTATCTAAGATATGATAATTGAATGCAGGAAATTTGTTGTTGTATATTCTTGGTAGAGAAAATGATCAAAATGGTCCTTCATGTATATGGGTTGATTTATTTTGGTCCTTAATATATATCACTTGATAGAAATAGTCCTTAATGTATGTAAAATGGGTATCATTTTGGTCCTAAACCCTAAATTTAACTTTTCACTGTTAAAAACTAACGTCTCCTCCCAAGGTACCCCTTCTCTGGTTCCTCAGTACTTGTTCTTCCTCAATATAGGAATACTAGTACACAAAACTGTTTTTTCTTTCAAGTAATTTCTAGCTTTTGGGTCAACTGAAAATTTATTGGATTCAGTGGAAGGGCAAAATAAGACTCACCTATTGATTTCAATTTTCATTGAATTAACCAATTAGCTCATCCAATCCAAAAATCAGCTTAATCAATCGAAAGAGATTATAAACTAAACAGTAATAAAATAATGGAGAATTTTTTGTGTGTCTATGTCATCCAAAAGCATGGATATGCTACTTCTTAATTCATTATATTACCAGTTCAAATATTTTTTTTGATTCAGTCAATGCGTCTAAAAATAAAGTCATTCATACCATTAATGAAAAATGGAACAAGCTGTTCAAATCATAATGAGTATTGAATTTTTCTAAAAGAAGATGAGGAGTTGGCAAGAGATGAGTTTTTTAAAATCTATTTTAAGAAGCTGATGCAGTTTTAGAGAGAAGACAGGAATGCAGAGCAGCCAAGGAGAAGAGAGAAATGAGTTAGGAATGAGACGTTAGTTTTTAAGAGAGAAAAGTTAAATTTAGGGTTTAGGATCAAAATGATACTCAATTTGCATACATTAAGGACTATTTCTATCAAGTGATATGAGTTGGCAAGAGATGAGTTTTTTAAAATCTATTTTAAGAAGCTGATGCAGTTTTAGAGAGAAGACAGGAATGCAGAGCAGCCAAGGAGAAGAGAGAAATGAGTTAGGAATGAGACGTTAGTTTTTAAGAGAGAAAAGTTAAATTTAGGGTTTAGGATCAAAATGATACTCAATTTGCATACATTAAGGACTATTTCTATCAAGTGATATATTAAGGACCAAAATAAATCAACACATATACATGAAGGACCATTTTGATCATTTCCTCATTCTTGGTACGCTTGGAAACCTTGCTGGGGTCTGTTTCCAACTTCTTTAATATTGAGTCATAGAGAAGAGAATTGTAGCAATCAATTGGTTTAATGTCGATGGCTGTTTACAAGTACTGGTGCCAGTAAACCATTTTTTGGAAGTTCCAAATTGATCTTTTCTGATTGATGTGTATGGCCTATTTTTATGAGTTTGAAGTTAGGTCTGCTAGTGATGTAAGTCCATCTTTGCTCCAAGTATACGATGACACATTTGTGTTAGAGCTGAGTATGGTATTTTATTTACTGGAGGATATTCAGAAGGTCTACTTGGAAAAAGGACGTATAATTCCCTACACTGCCATGGAGACGATACTCTAGCAGGAACAAAATGAAGTTTTTCCTGTCGTGATAGTCTATGTTTAACGATTGTAGCAGTAAGATGGAAATTATTCCAAAAAATACTATCAATTCGGCAACAAACAACTCATACCTAGTAATGCAAGGGAAGCCATCAAAAAGCTATTGAACATCGGGAACATTTTTGGCATTGGAATAGCTATTCTGCCCATTTCGGCAAGATAAACAAGGCGGATTCTATCATAAGTCGTTCCTGCCGACAACTTTTTTTAGTCATTATTTGAATGTTTTGTAACCTCAAAATACTTGTTCGTATTCTTGATTTTATACGGTTTTTAGTTTTCTCATGTTTGATTGGTTTAAATATTTTGAAATATAATTTTCAAATCAACTTATTTTCTTCAAATTTAAGGAAAATGACTTACCTCCGAAAAGTAAAAAGTAAAGAAAATATTTTTTTAACTTTTTTTAACCTCAGCTTTCCACATAATTCTAGTTTTAGATATCTAATCTAGGATTTGACTCCTGGGTGTTGGGTTGGGTTAGGATCGCATCTTGATTTTGGTGTTGGGTCTCGTATTAGGATTTGAGTTGAGTGTTGAGGTCGGGGGTTTGAATTGGGTGATGGAGTTGGGTTTTGGGTTGAGCATCGAGTTTGAGTTCATTGTTAGGTGTCGGGTTTGGGTGTTGCAATCAAGTCTGTAATTGGGAGTCGAATTTGTTCCTAATTCAGAAGTCGGGTCTTGGATTGGGTCTTGGGTGTTGGGTTGGGGTTGGATTTTGGTTTGGAAGTTTAGTTTTGCATCGGGTGTCATAGTTGAAGTCTTGGTTTGCAAGTCTGCTCTCGGATTAGTAATCGGGGTCGGGTGTTGATGTTGGGGTTAGGGTTAGGGTTAGGGTTGGTTCTAGTTTTAATGTCGATTTAGGAGTTGGGGTCAGGTTTTGGATCGAGTGTTGTGGTTAGATCCTGGATTGGTCATCAAGGTCATGTCCAATTTGGGGTGTCAGGGTCGAGGCTGGTCTCAGTTCAAATGTCGAGTCCTAAGTTAGGAGTTGGGGTCAGGTCCTGGGTCGGTTCTTGGGGTTGTTTCCTAAATTGAGTGTCGGGGTCGGTTCTCAATTCGAATGTTTGGTCCCGAGTCGAGAGTTAGGATCAGGTCCTGGTTTAGGAGTGTTGGATTCTGGATTGATCGTCGAGGTTGAGAGTTGTGTCCACAGTTGTGATTAGGTCCTGGGTCAGAGTTGAAAGTCATATCTTGAACTGTACATATGGTTATTTGGTTCTTTGCTTTGGTTTTTTCATAATCGATTTTTAATCTTTTGATTATAGAAAAATGTGCACCAAATTAAATTCAATTATTTTCAAGGTTGGTTCAATTTTTTAATTTTTTCGAAATTTGAAAAGAAATTATGGTACATAAAGAATTAAATAGTATAACTAGAGTGAAAACATAATTCAAACAATACCCCAATTTGGTATCTTTATCTCTTTCAATCAAGTATTCAAATTATAAATGGCTATAATATAATCCATAAATAATATATTTATAAGTTGTTTGGTTAAATTTTTTTATTTTATTTAAAATTATTTTCATACCCGGTTAGAACTACTAGACACATGGGCTCATTAACAATACGTATTTGATTTTCGACAGACCCTTTGCTTGGGTAAAAGATTTGGTTCTTCCATACAGTCATTAAAATTATATGAATTTAAATATATTTCTTTTCGAATTATTTTCGGATGTTGACAAGCTAGATCAAAGATGACCGCGCGGACTACTGCCCGTCATCAGAGATCCTGTAAATTGGTATCAGAGCCTAGGAACTTTCATGGTAAATCATTAATAGTTGTGAAGTATTTCGGCATAGATATATTTCTCTTTGATCATGGATCTAGGAGAAATTCATTTTGAATATATTTTCGTGCAAGTGAACCTGGACTAAAATCAATTTGGTGTTCAGTCATCATTAACTGTCGTTAGGGTCAAATTCCATTTCAGAAACGGAAGGGATTTCTTTATCAGAAATATCAGA